GAACACGTATTAAACTAAGTCTGTGCTATTTGTCTAGTTTTCTATATTTCCATTTACTCTCCTCAGTCCTGTTATATTTTTGGCTGAATTTTGTCTTTTGTTCACATTTTGATTTTCTTTATGCTTTCATGAGGATCAATACTGAGACTTCTACAGTGACGCCCAGTAGTCACTGTCCTCTTTGTTTTCAAACACCCTCCACTCCCCGTAAGACCTAAGAACCACAATTTATTTAAACACTTCTTTCTTGTTCTCTTTCATATTTATAGTACTTATTCATCACTTTTAAATTTAAAAGTATTCTTGAAAGATATACAAGGTGATTAAATTATGTGTATTTGTGGGTACCAGGTGTGTGTGTGTGTGTGTGTGTGTGTGTGTGTATGTCGTTTAATTATCAATAGATGCCATTTCTGGATTTCTAATTTTAGCTATTATCCATTTGCTTCTATCTATGGTCATGTTATATAAGAATTTGGATCTCGGCCAGGTGTGGTGGCGCACGCCTTTAATCCCAGCACTTGGGAAGCAGAGGCACGGGGATCTCTGTGAGTTCAAGACCAGCCTGGTCTACATAGTGAGTTCCAGGACAGCTGGGGATACAGTAGGGAGACCCTGTCTCAAAAAAAAAAGAAATAATAATTTGGATCTCTTAGATCATCTTATTCAACTTAATTTCTAGGATATTTTAATCTAACTTGCAGTTAATGATTAATTAGCATTTCCAGGATTATGATTTTATACATTTATGCTACTGACCCAAACAGTATCTAATTATTCCACTTTCTGTTATAACCTTTTGTTTCGCTTTGCTTTTTTGGAACAACTTTTATTTTATTTTCTATTATATGTACAAAAAAACTTATAGTGTACCTTTCTTTAATTTTTAAAAAAATCCTATGAGATCTGCCAATCTTCCCTTGTTAGCATTCTTTTTCAAGTTTTCATATATATGTATATGATTTTCTTATTTTCTGTGGATCTCTTTCCCAAGATGCTTCATCCGCCCTGGTGCAAACCTAAGTGACATCTGGGACTACTGAAAGCTAGCTGCCATCCCCCAACTTCCTTTTGCTTCTTTCCTTTGATTTACATGTTCATACAGTTTAGTTCATGTGGCATCTAAATAGGGGTGTCATAAACTTTTCCCAATGAAGACCACTTTTTACCCAAGAAAAATTTTTCATCACCCTAGAAATCTAAGTATATAAAGTAGTATACAAATAAAAATTCATTGATAATAGATTATAAATAAATTTTCAAAAGTAAGTCTGATATCCATACTATTTTGTCATTTATTAAAGACAAATTTTCAGGCTACTTAGATGGGTGTGTTTGCTTTTACATAAAGAATAAAATATTGGATGAATATTTTTGGCACTATAGGACATAAAGCACTGTCAAGAATGTTTTTAGAGTTTGTTAATATTTTATAGACATCAATCCAGAGAATGCCATAGGAGAAAAAAATGGCAGAAATATTTAGAGCAATTTCAGAAATTATTGGAAAATTTGGGTTAATTCCAAACTAAAATTCATTGAACAACTCTTTAAGAAACTGAGGTCAGCAACTCAAACAGCAATTTTTTTAATCAAGAACATTTAAATTGAATTTTTGTGAATTTTGAACAATGTATTTTGATTGTATTTATCTGCCCCTATCTGGCCCTCCTTACTCTCCAATTCCATGCACTCTATTATATATACTAAGGCCTATGGAGTCAAGTTTGTGTCCCCAAATGCCCATTTGTGTGAATCCAACCACTGGAGCCTGCTTAATCTACCAAGATTCACAACCTTAAAAGACTCTCCCCTTCCCAGCAGCCATGGGTTTCCAATAGGGCCTCAGATAAGTTGGTCCCCAGTTCTTCTCTTCTATGCTGGATTTTGTCTGACTTGAGCTTACATGGATGGCACTTGAGCATCCCATCACCATTGCTTTGAGTTTATATGAGTAACTGGCCAGCTGTCTGGAAAATTCGTTTTTCTTATGGTCATCCACCACCACTGGCTCTTAGAATATTTCTGCCCCCTCTTTTGCAATGATCCCTGAGCCTTGGGAGACAGAAATGTAATCTCTTATTCTCTGCATGTTGGCTGGTTGTAGGTTTCTGTGTTAGTCACCATGCATATATCTCCCATATTCCTTCCCCTGTTTCTCCAGAAATCATACCTTGCCAGGTTAATTGTTGTTTTGTCATGCAGGATTCACAGCTGGTAAAAGTTAATGATTATTTTTCTCTTCAGGTACCATGCATAGCACCTTTTAGCACTATGAAAGCTAGCCAGTAGCGATGAAGCTCTCATGACAGTATCACCTGGATTTCTCATTATTTTTTCTTTTAAACAGCAATTTTCAAAATCAATAATTTTAACATAATACAATGAAAATATGTATTAACTTGATACGTACATGCTGAGGAACAATAGTGGGAAAGCATTGTTTTCTATAATTAATCCTTTATGAATCACTGCAATTCATGACACAACAGTTTTTTATCTAAGCCAACATGTTTCAGGCAGCATCTGATGATAGTTTATGGCGTGACAGTATGTACAGTGAAAATGTGTGTTGTGTGCTCAGAAACAAGGCTGAAGTGAACTCCCACTACGCATCACACAAGAGTGCTGCCAGAAATCCTCAGGTTCACTGTTCACTTGATTTTGAATTAATCTTTGGGCATTACCAGTTCAGAAATTTCAAAATACAAGTTCCTTAGCAGTTTTTTTTTTTTGAATGTGATTATGGCCCATTGATTCACAAAGCTGGTACCTTCTCTCCCTTATTTCAAGGACTTTTAAAAATTATTAAAATTCTTGAACTGGTGGGTTTTACCATGGGCAAAACCACTTGCTGTATAAGCCTGACAACCTGAAGTTGATTCCCAGATCCATTGCTGGAAGGAGAAAATTGGCTTCCAATGTTGTCTCCTGACCTTTACAAGTGAGCCATGACAAACACATACTTGTATAAACATGCATACATAAAACACACACACACACACACACGAGAGAAAACAAATAAAAATTTAAGCATCTTAAAATATTTCTAAAACTGCTGTAGCATGTATTAAGTATACACGATAATGAGCTTCACCATGATATTTCATACACACTGTACCAGCTTCTGATCTCATTCACCCCTCTTATCTAAGTCTTGTTCCTTATCTCTTTGATCCCTTTTCTCTTATTTCCTAGACTCCTTCTACTTCAGAAAATTTGTGTGTTTTTGTGGTGTGTGTGTGTGTGTGTGTGTGTGTGTGTGGTATAGTGTTCATGTGGGTATGTACATATGCTTGTGGGTGTACAAACACATATGTGCATATGGATGGGTTTGGAGGCCAGAGGTCAACCTCAGGTTTCTTCCTCACTTGCTTCCCACCTTAGTTTTTGAGGCAGGTTCTCACTAAACCTGGAGTTCATTGGTTCAGCTAAACTTGCTCGTCAGTGAGTTCCAGGGTCTGCCAGTGCTGAGGCTAGAGAAGACCGCTGCTGTGCCCGGCTTTGTCTTATGTGGCTGCTAGAGATTAGGTGCTCGTACTTACACAGCAAGCACATTATCAACTGAGCTCTCTCCCCAACCCCTTTAGAGTGTCTTAATGTATCTTTTGGTTATCTCTATTCAATATTTTGTATTGCCCATACACTAAATACTCTTTTTCTTTACTGTTTTCCAAACATAACCGTATTTTCCAAAATTGCTTTGAGCTCATTCTTTTTTGAAACATTTACTATGAAATATCCAGCTTTGTTTAAGAAATTAAAACATGACCAATTCTTATTACTTTAAAAATTATTTATCTGGATAATATTATTACTTTGGATCTCATTATGCCCTCTCATTCTTTTAAAAAAACTAAATTAAATTGTTTTTAATTCTTGTTTTTCTTAATCTGGACTTTTTAATACTCTGAGGAGCCAACACACTTTCTCCCTTAATTATTTTACTAGTTTTTGTCAGCTGAATTGTTTTTTTTATTAAGATGATCGTTGTTATTGTTAATATTACTTACCACAGTCTCCTCTCACAAGCACCATTTGGTGCTGCAAATCTTTTACCTGGCTCATATTCACCTTAACTATGGTTAAACTTTCTATTTGTTTAATATGGGTGTCTAAACTTCCCTTTGAGTTTCCTTCCTTTTCTTGTGTGGTATGTTGAATGTCTCTATTCCCCTATACTTCATACAGCGTTAGAGAAGGACAGTTTGTATACATCTACAGTTGGAGGTCTTGGGTGGGAGTCACTATTAAGACCCTTTTAAATGTTCTCTGCAAGGTCCTCTCTTTCTGTGTGGAAAGCTTGAAATTGTGGAATCTGACTGATTTCTTAGACTCAGCCTTGATCCCAGCTTATAAGGTCCTGATACCTTTCTGCCCCTGCAGATGCCCCATGATGAGGTGTCAGATAGGGAAGAGATACATGAGGATTCTAAGAGTTTCCTGATCGATTCCTCATCAATCTTGGCTCTGAGGTCAGAAATATATTTTAAATTTGTATACTTCTATTAGTACCTTCCATTTATTTCATTGAGCCAACTTTGTATTTTTATTATATTTTATTTAGTGTGTGTGGCATGTGGTTGTGTGTCAGGGGGCAAGTTGTGTATATGTAAGTGAATTCACACAGGGCACAGACAGTGTGTGGAGGTCATAGGACAACTTATAGGAATCAGTTTTCTCCTTCCATCATATGAATTTGAGTGGCTCAAACTCAGGTCCTCAGGTTGGCAGCAGGCTCTGTTACTCACTGAGCCATTTTGCCAGCCCACAATATTTTTATCCATGAAATATGATTATCCTTTGTTTGATTTCCACTGTTGTATTTCATTTAAATGTATCCTTGTTTTGTTAATCCATAGGGGATGGAAATTTTTAAGCCTGTCTTTATGCATCCATCTTTACCTGAAAGATTTTAAAGGGCTTATATGCATTTTCATTTCTTAAAATAATTCCATTCATTGAGCAAAGTTTACTTTTTAAACCTTTATTTAGAAACAATGGCTCAAAGGGGTAAAATCTATAATTGAGAGACATTTTGAAGTTACTGGTAAAGCAATGGTTGGGAGCTATTAAGTACCTAATCCAGCAGAATGCTCTCTAATCTACCATGAGGCCTCAGGCATCTCTCTGAGGTCCTGTTGAGCTTAAAGTCACATTCATACAGTGAGCAGAGAAGGCTCCTGCACAGCATGGACTCTTCTATATCTTACTTAATCCTACTTGATTATGATAAGGATAATAACATTTCGTATTACTGGTATCTTCTATAAGCAAATTAGTATATGTCCTAAACAACATATCAAAAATTTTGAGAATAATGTAAACTGCTACTAACCTTGCAACTACAAGGAAAATAAAACATTTTTTTCTCTTTTTTTCCAGAAAATGCAAAAGACATCGTAATACTATATGAAGAAGATGCTGAGGAATGGGCTCTGTACTTGAGGGAGATATTTTTGCATGCTGTGCAAAGAGAGGCGATCTTGTTATATCCCTTGGAGAGTTTCTCTCTTCCACATTTGGAATCGCTGAGCTTAAATTCTTACAAATGTAAACTTTTGATATTATCTAATAGTTTGCTTAAAGACCTAACTCCAAAGAAGTGTCGGTTTCTGGAAAAGGTGCTTCACTCATCAGAAAGTGTAGTTACTCTGCTTTGCGGGATGGAGAGTTCAGATCCTCTCTATGGATTATTAAAGATCCCTGGGAGCAGATGGGAGGTGTCAACTGAGCAGGAACCAGAGGATTATATCTCTGTCATCAGGAGGATCATCGTCAGAGGTGTGTTGCCAAATCTTTGCTGTTTGTTATTTTTATTTGCTCACTTCTTATAACTTGAAATAAAGATTTTTTTTAACTTATAAACATCTAATGTAAGAATAAAATTAAAGCATAAATGTCAATTTCATTTAACAGTGTCTTGTGTTGTCCACAAATGTATCAAAGTTTTTCATAGCTTTATTCCAATCAGGGCTTATCAGTTGTTCTAAAAATGGCCTCTAAACATATCCCTTTGTGCAACTTGGATGAGGCCAGGACAGAGCCAGCACAGCATGCCGAGCTGTGTGCCAGTCTCCTTTGGAAGACAGCTTCTTGTGTAACTGGCGAGGCTTGAGTTACCCTTGCCTGCTCTATGTTGTTCCCAGTCAATTGCTGTTCACAGTTCGAAGGCCTGGGCTAGAACTATAGGGTTTCTGCTATAATTGTAATTGTGTGATATTTATTATTACAGAGTGAAACACTGTTATTTTTATTCATTTCCAAATAGCGAATTTAATTTTAAGCAATGTAAGAGAGCAGAACACAAGGTCTCATTCATCAGTTAATTACCTTTCCCAGTAATTGTCAAATTCTGATGCTAACATTTAAAGTGCCTCATTCTCTGGCACTTCCACAGGCTCTGAGGGGATGTGATGCTTGCTTCGTTCCTCAAAATGTATATTGCCTTCTATGCCCAGCCATCTAGCTGTGTTTTCTGTCTTACAGGGAAAGGGTGGAGCTATTTCATTGCAGGCAGATCAGATGTTTAAGGTTGCCTCTTGGAGTATATTTCTGAATTCTTTGGAGTCTTCCTTGTTCACTGGGAATACTTCTGCTTTAGTTCCTTTATGGAACAAGCATTGCCTCTTCCACTCCTGACTGTCTTTGCCCAATTCATGTAGGTTCCTACTGTTTGCAGGTCCCTCCGAAGCCTCTTAGCTCTCTCAGGATAAATCCTGACTGGATGTTTCTCACACTTGGCTCACCTGTCTGTTAAAACCATCAGTTCTCTTCTGTCCATGCAGACCGTGGTCTTGTAGGCCATTCTGAGTGTTGCTGCATTCCACATCAGAGCAGCAATGCACCCGCCATTTGTGGCCCTTATTCATGTCCATGCATGGACTTGCTCATGCTAGGGTTCTGGAGATGCAGGGAACATGCCCCGATCCATTCTCAGAACTCTTGACAGGTAATATTCATCACTGTTTCCCTCTGGTAAGTCTATTTAAAAAAGAAAATCTTTGTTTTCCAACTGTGACCTTTTCAAAGTCAATGTATTTTTGTGCGTATGTGTGGTGTTCTGTGCATGTTTGTGTTGGTGTATACATGTGTTCAGATGCACATATACATATATGTACAGGCCAGAGGTCCACATCAAGTGTCTCCCTCTGTTGCTCGCCACTTTAGTTTTTGAGACATTGTCTCCCACTAAACCTAGAAATCATCAGTCTGGGCTGCTGGCAGAGCTGGCTTACAGATGTGCACCTCTGTATCCAGATTTCATATGGGTACTGGGATCTGAGTTCTGGTCCTCATGTTACCATTGCAGGCACTTACTGACTAATCCATGTCCCCAGCCCTCTAACTCAGTATTTTTAAAGTCTTACTTTGACTATTTTTTCCAATGTATATTTTTATTAAGCTTTTGTGCATTTCATGCAATACATCATAATCATATTTAGACCCCTCTCCTATCATAGTTATTTATTTTTGCAGAACAATTTTCTCTAAAATTTAGTCACTTAAAAATCACAAACAAGAACTATATACCAATTTGTAAGGTCCAGGAACTGAGGAGTGGCTAGGCTGGGAGGTTCTGGGTCAGGATATGATGAGGTTACTTGTATTCAAACTGGCCAAAGCTGTAGTGTCTGAAGACTCCCCTGTGTGCGTGAGGTGCACACGCGTGTGTGTGTGTGTGTGTGTGTGTGTGTGTGTGTTTATATATATGATGTGTGTTGTATCTGTGTGTGTCTGTGTGCATGTGTGTGTGTTTATCTATATGATGTATATATGTGTATTGTATCTGTGTGTGTCTGTGTACATGTATATTATGTTTGTGTATACCTACACATATACATTTATATGTGTGTGTTCATATATGTGTGTATGTGTTTGTGTGTACACATGAGCTTTTGTGTGTTTGTGTGTATGTATATGTGTATGTGTGTGTGTGCATAAGCATGTGTGTGTATGAATATATATGTGCATGTGTGTTTAAGGGGTCTTGGAATGGGGCCTTCACTGTTGTCAGATTTCTTTGTTAAGGTATTAGCTCTGAGTTGGCTAAGAATTACCTCTAATAGATTCTTAAGCAAGGTCCCTTGGAAGCAATGTTTTCAAATTTACAACATTCAAAAGCTTTTGTCTCACACTTGAGGTACTACTTTACGAAGGGCAGGACTGTTCTTCGTTGGTTTTTTACTAGCATCACAGAATATGGAGACATTTTTTGGCTGCTGACACGGGACTGTTTATAGACAAAGCCTAATGCCTTCGTCAGATGACTTTTATCACCCCATACTCTGGATTATTTCCCTAGGGATGTGCCTTCATGCTTTTGTTTTTACCTTTCTCCCAAATTTTTAATTCAAGTCTTTTATTTCAGGAGCAATTTCTTGACTTACATCTAAGTATTTGCTCTAATCTACTTTTATGTTTTGATTTTCAGATTCATTTTATAAATTTGGGGGACTGATTTTGCCCCTTATATACTCTATATCTCTCTAGTGCTCTCTGACTTTCTATTAACATCTAACTTATTTCATTTACCTCCTTAGTAGCTGCTACTGTCTTTTCAGGCGTTCTACTTTCTCTTTATTTTTTTCTAATTTTCTTTTTTATTGTACTTTTACTTTCTTTCATTTTACCTTTGTTTGGGCACCTAACATTCATTGATCATTTCTGAATCTTGCCTTGGTCCTTTCACTGTGAAGCTGTGCACTTCTACATTATTTAATTGATTTTAAAATATTCTTGTTATTCAAAACTGTCTGGTGAAAGCACGGCCTGGTGGTGCATACCTTTAATCCCAGCATTTGGGAGGCAGACCGGTAGATCTCTGTGAGATGGAGGCTAGCCTGATCTATATAGCGAGTTCCAGGCCAGCTGGGACTTCAGGAAGACCCTGTCTCAAAAACCAACCAACCAACCAGCCAACCAAAATGAAAACGTTTGTGGTACAATGTCTGGCAATAGCAGTTCTTCTGGTTCTTTGATGTACTTTCCTTCCCTCTACCTCGGTACTCTTCGAGTACATTAAACATTTTATTTTTCTTTAAAGACATATTGTAATGATATGAGACTATCATGAGACTATCAAAATAAAATCTGTGTAAATCACAAGTAATTGCATACTACTTTTCCCCTGATACAGAACAGTAAAGATTGATGGCAATATTTTAGGTTTTTCCTCACACCCATAATTTGAAGAATTCTCATGGAGCCATTTATTAATTCATTATGTATGTGTGCATGTGCGTGTGTGCACATGTGTAATATGTACAGGTCAGAGGACAACTCTCAGAGGTCAGTTTTCTCCTGACACCTGTAGGATCCAGGGATGAAAGCCAGGATGTCAGGCCAGCAGGAAAACGTCTCCATCTGCTGATCTCAGACCACTATTGGGTCATCTATTATTATGACACTATTATTTAAAAATATTAAAGAAATACATTTATATTTATTTTAGTTTGCTTTATGTTGAATACTTTTGGGTAGCAATTAAAGTGGTATTCTGATATATCTTGAAATTAAATTCCTTTTTGTATTTTTTTTGGTCATATAAATAA